CGGTCACGCATTCCTATCAGATCAAGAGTGGATACGCTGTGCTACGCATCCCCTTCAACTACCAGCCAGCTTAGACCAAACGTTCCTTCGACATACAGATAGCCTTCCAAATATGTCTTCACACTTCTTCATTCTTTACTTCTGATTTGACTCGGTTGGTATATTTCGAATATGAGTGTTAAGCGTAGGAAGATAATCAACATTTTAAAGTTTTTTTAAATACGAGACTTCCGCACGATCAATGATATATTATTTAGGTTCGTGATAAAGGAATTGAAAGATTGTTCGTATGCCTTTTCGAAGGGTCGTCGTGATGAGTCATGGCGTACGAAAACATGTGTACTATTTCGTGAGTCAGTGTGGTGTTTGAATGAACTAATGATTCCTTTGTATTTGTCGAATGCTTGATTTCAAATTCTAAATACAGTACATTCGTTCATGCTTATCTAATACTTCTTGATACAACTGTTTTATTTCAGGGATTCTTAGTTCGTACTCTAATTCAAATACTCCTAATTATTATAGTCACGTTGAACGAAAATATCAGTTGACTGAATCGATCGCATGGCGTTTGTAAGCATGCTCGCATAAGAGTTTAGATCCATAATCGTTCAAAAAGATGAAGGATTCACAAGTTATTCTTGAAGTTGGACGGTCGTTTAGTGAATGAGTTGTGCTGCAGTGTATCCAATGTCAGCATTCACTACAATGAGAATGCCGAATGAAACGAGTGGAAGAGCGCCGGTCAGCTTTGAAAAGTTTGCAACTGAGAGTGAAGTTGTCGGAAAAGTCGTTCTACCAACCCGTGAGCAGGTGAGTGGCAGGCAGTCGTTCGAAATCGTGGGATTCCCATTAGTGTAGCAAGATAACGGTTTTTAGTGATGATTGAATGGTCCACCAGGGTGCTTGGTACCTGTGTGGTTGCGCCACAGGATTGAGCTGTACTATTCAGATTGTAGCGTTATAGCCTATACGGTGTCCGGCTCCCCTGTTAATTGGGCTTGGGCTGTACTGTTTGGGTTGTTGCGTGAAAGTCTGGACGGTGTCTGGTTCTCCTGAAAACCGATGTAAAATTACCCTGGCCCACAAGGGTATATTATATAACTAACTAGTGATGATTGAAGGGTATCCGAAGTTTGCTGTTCATCACTCGACGAAGGCACGAGCCACTGTCTCAGCAGTAATGTTTTTGATAAGTATTGCTTCCGACCATAATGCGATACGGTTCACTTACATTAAAATGTAGGAATATTCACTTGAATTCGGTAATGGTCCTATCAAATTCAGACATAAATGGTCGAAATGAGTGCCGGGAGTTGTGAAAGAGCCTAAGAGTCATTTGTTTTGTTTAATCATCTAGATTTCTGGCAGCTTACAAAGGGGCGTGCCCACTCCCTCACGTCTTTTTTTAGACCAGACCAACAAAATCGTTGTTCTATGAGCTTGATGGTCGATAATTTTTCGGCACAACTAGATGACTCCTACATGTAGATGAGTTGCATGGTAAGGTTTCCTTAGCTGTTCCCACCCTTTTGACCTGTAGTCTCAAGGTTGTTGAAGATATGCTGGGCGAAATTGAGAAGGTCGATTCCTTGAAAACTGTTGCAGGGCCAGTGAAATGTCACTGTGCCCTAGCTAGATCACCTGATAGTCGGGTCACTGAATGTGGAACAGATAATCGATCCTTGTCAAGGTCAAAGACAGTCAACGAGCATCAATTAATCGTATGCCATGGACAGGCGCATGGGATGGTGTTTTCGTTATCTTCTCTGTACACATTCTTACTAATATATTTCCATAGTAACGTCCTTTTTGTTATACGGTCTTCAAAGTAGTCGTGGTACATTGATACGTCGAAGAGGTAATCGGCATGAGAGGCTGACCGCGAGGTGGGACTCCTAAACTATCTGGTTTGTCACACCCTTCCTGCCGAACTCGAATAAGCCCCCAAACATTCGAAGTAGATAATCTACGTTGGTGATCTACACGTTTCAAAGAATTTGTACGAGACAATGCGTCTGCAACTACATTGTTTGCTCCAGAAATGTAATATATATCTGTAGTATACTGTGAAATGTAGCCCATTTGCCGTGACCCTTGAGAGCAGTACTTGTCTGAAGACGAGCTTAAGCAGAAGGTCAGAGATTTGTGATCTGTGAAAAGATTGAGTTTTCGGCCTTCAACTAAGTGTTGAAAGTGCCTTACTGCACAATTCATAGCTAGAAGTTCCCTACCGAATGAGCTATACCTCGATTCGTTGTCTAGCAACCATCTTAAGAGGAATTCCAAGGGTTGTCACTTATGGTTACCCTGTTGTTGTATGACACCATTGATTGCCGATTCGGATGCATCTACCACCATGCTAATAGGGGCTTCGGTGTCTTGGTGTGCGAGCAGTGTTGCCTTGGCAATAAGTTCGGTAACTAGAGAATGCTTTTCTCACTCTATCGTCCAAATTGACAATTTTCAAATTTCCACGAAGTTGGTCGGTTAAGGGTCTTCTGGGGGATGCGCTAGACCATTGAGAGTATTTAGTTGCTTGACTGTGGTCGGTTTTGGGTAATACAGAATAGCCACCACTTTGCTTTGCAAGGGTCGAATACCTTGAACTCCAATAGTCCGAGAAAATCTAGGGAGTCTGGTCCGATATGACATTTTTGAATGTTTACAGTAATGCCGTATCTCTGCAGTCGTTCAGAAACCAGTTCCAGATTCTGGAGATGATATGTTTCTGTCTAGAATTGCGACCAAACAGCTATCAACATACGCATGTACAAAGTTGGAACCTCGAAGGACGCCATTGTTGAATCTGAAATCGAAAAGCCTTCACAAAAGTTTATGGAGGCCTAAAGGAGTGATAGTAGCAGTTTTAGGAATGTCATCAGCATTTGTGAGAGTTTAGTTGTATGCTATCATCAGACCAGTTTTCGACGGAGAATTTGTACCTTTTAAAGTAGCTATCAAATCGTGAATGTCTGACAACGAGTAGCGATCAGAAATGGTTTTCATATGCAGTCACCAGTTTGACGCCGATCGATTTCGTTCGTCTTAGGGACTATGTGAAAGTAGATGCCCATGGACTATTCGGTGGATAGATTATTTCCGTGTCGCTGAGTCGATTATGGTGTTGTAGCAGGTCTACATCAATTATTGGCGTGGAAACATCTGCAAGAACGAAAATCCATGGATAATGTTTACGTAAAATCACGTCAAGATAAACATATCTCTTGTCGCATATGGCGGTCGTTTTTCCATTTGTCGCTTGTACGTTGGAGACTGGTTGTTGTAGACGGTCGTTAGAATTCGCGGGATTCACGATTACTTCTGCTTCAGTGTCGACGGGATAGAGAAATTTCGTCACTTCATCAGTGATGTATGACAGTCGTTGTTTCGGAATGATCCAAGCACTGTCTGGACCTGATGGGGAAGCTTGGACAAGAACAGCTGCCTAAACAGGCCCTCATCAGGAGTCATTTGACCAATGACCTCTTACATAAGTTGCAACATTCCAGTTGCTGCATCGTGTTGAAACTCGATGTTGTGGATGCATAAGTTAAACTGTTGTTGGTAGGTAAGGAAACCAAGTTTAACGAAAGACTTCTCTAAAGTGTGGTAAGGTTCAGAAATCACTAGCAAGTGTATTAGGTGTGATATATGTGTTAAAACCGTGCGGTAGTGTCAATCGACCTAAGCTGTTACACCTTCACTAGTGGCAAGACCTGTGGATGTGTGTCTGTCACGCCGCCCTCCTGAAAGTCAGCTACTGTGTATCAGAACCAAACCTCCAAATTAAAAAATATGAAAGGGATATCACAATATGTAAAAATGAACGTTGGAAAACGATATTAAATATTCCAACAAGGAAATGACTCATAGTTTGCGGATTGGTGTACTGGAATACGTCCGGCCTACTAATAAAGATGCCAAAAGTATTTGGATTTTGAAAACGCCTTCACACATAACACCTTTGTAATTGTGAATATACTAACCGAGTCAAATCAGAAGTAAAGAATGAAGAAGTGTGAAGACATATTTGGAAGGCTATCTGTATGTCGAAGGAACGTTTGGTCTAAGCTGGCTGGTAGTTGAAGGGGATGCGTAGCACAGCGTATCCACTCTTGATCTGATAGGAATGCGTGACCGAGCACCTTCAGCTAGGTGAGTCCAGTAAAACTAATGAGGTCAGCATCAAGTGTCGAAGACTTATAGATATATTGATTTTGGGGATTTATTTATGGCTACAAACTGAAATGAAGTAAGACTTGCCCTTGAGTTATCGCGCTGTGATATGTTTTAATTTGCACAATATTCTTCACTATTCTCACTCTAATGTGCATCATTTGCTTTACTATAACGCCCTCATGATTTGCTGTAACTTGTGAGGCAGACAAATGATTTTAATTTTTCCATATTATAAGATCTTTGACTTAGGCACTTGCGCTTGGTAGGTCGTACGTTCTCATGTGTTTTTTGGTGCCTTTTTCAGGGTGACCAGACTTAAGTTACTATTTCGTCAGCCAAAATACTGTCCCATAAACCCAGAGGAGAAAACAGTTACTTGTTTGGCTTGTGAGGAAATATGGTGACGGTGATTGCCAAACAGTTTGTACCTATTGACACCAGCTGAACCTATCACGACAATCGAAAATGCCAAAAATTATTCTACTAAGAAATTATTTGTCGTTCAAAGTATTGCTTCGTTCTATCATGCTCACGAACAGTCAAAGCAAGCATCTGCACCTATCTGAATAAAAACCCTTTATCTTAGCTAAGACATGTACAAATTAGTATCATGTTCAGTGTTTCTGGTTAAGAATATATCGCCGACTGATTACTGTTATGGAAAAATATATGCTCTCATGGCTGTAAGGTAGTCTCGAATTTCACGTTTGAGTGATAGAACAATCATTTAATACAAAAATAATGTTTTTTTGAGAGACAAGACTTATACATAACCATGTTGTTGAAACATTTAGTATTTGTTTTTGTCGACCGCTTCCTATGTTGTCACTATTACGAATAGTTTCTTAGTTCCTGTTAAAATGTTATCGGGTAGCTCAGTTTATATTGGTTAGTCTCAGAAATGAAATAATGTGGTTATTTTCAGAGCTTTTATTTTTTGTGCTGTTATTACATTCCAGTAGAGATGTATACGGGTTCACAGATACAGCTGGTAAGTCACGTGACTTTCATAAATATGGTTATGAAACTGTATTTTTTTAAAACTTATACAAAACTGTAGCACCGATTGACTTAAACTATTGGGTTAGGTTTATCAGTACTAAATCCTATGAAGCTCGTTCCCGATGCACTGACATATACGTCACGTACTTATAGATATCTATAAGTACACCAGAATTCCTGAGTATTTTGTGAAAATCTCATAATTCGGAGATTGGGATGTTTTATAACTATTCATCAGATACTAAGTACATGCTAAATTTTTATTCGTATTGTGGTAAACTACTATAATTAGGGCAACTTACAGTACAGAACCTCTTTATTTTCAAAATAGACCAACATCATGACGTAGGCTCTTCAAATTCAGACAAACATACGAATTTAAGCCGTGTAAGTGCCATGTCGCGGCTCGTGTATTTGTTTCTGTATCTTTATTTCATCTGCTGTCGATGGTATTCCGGGTAATGTAGAAAAACAGAGTAGAGTATTTGAGTTATTTAGAAATGCTTCTAAATTTTCAAAGAATTCAGAATTTGATATCTAATGGCGTGTATACGATAAATTAGATATTCGTTTGCTAAAACGACGTCCCTACTTTAAATGTTAGCTGTCTTTCCAAAAATTACTTAATATTTGGGCACGTGCTATAGAAACGTATTTTTATTTTTCCATAGTTTTATCTTAGCATTAAATACAAACAAATCATACAAATATTATTTTTTATGTCTTATAGCTAATAAAAATAATGGGATATACTGATTATTTAAGTAATTTCTCCCACGAACTTTATTCTCAAGTGTTTTACGCTCGTTATGTAAATCTAAAAAAGCGGAACGACCGAAGATCTGGGATAATAAAAGTCCAAAACTTGATTTATGGTTAAGATGCAGAAATAGTACAACTAATTCACACAAAATCAACCAGATTGCTAGATATCGTATAAATTATGTACATGTAATACATTGAAATGTCTATTCATGCAACTTAATCAAAAATATTAAACTCATCTGCAAAAATGGAATCAAAGGTGGAAACCAACAAACAGATCACCCTGTTATATATAAAAGACATGTAGAAAGCTACAACAAAATTGTTGGGGCCACTTGGAATATGTCCAGCATATAAACCATAAAAATCACTCAATTTCATATAGTACAAACCAAAGGATGGATTGACAAAAGAAGGGGAATCAAATATCATTTATAAAATAAACTTTTAAATGCAAGAAAAACATCGTACTAAGTAGTCGCTCTCCTTATTTTCATCTGCGTCAATACCGAATAGCTATCAAGCGTCATGATGTACTTTCGCTCATCTCAATGCGTGAAGACAGTTGAAAACAAGTTCGATTAAGAAAATGTTGAAACTTTAAATAAAGGGAACACAAAAAATACTAGAGGCTTACTTGAACCTTGGTACAAGGTCAATCAGCCATCAATTAATACATCCAAATACATGCAATTTATGAACCAGTTCGGGAACTTGTGAATGAATATAAGATCCTTATTCAGACCCAAGTGGATTGTAACCAAAATGAATATGTGCAGTAGTTTCCAACGTACATAAAGGTAAAAGCCAGATCCTCAAATATAACACAGAGAATATCATTCCGATCACACTTGATGGCGAAGCTCTGGAAGATATGGAATCTTTGATGTATCTTGTCAGCATCGTCGACGAACAAGAAGGATCTGATGCAGACGTAGGGGCGAGGATCGGCAAAGCAAGGGCCACACTCCTACAGTTGAAGAACACATGAAACTCAAAGCAATTACCAACCAATATCAAGGTATCTTCAATGCGAACGTCAAGACAGTCGGTTCTACTGTACGGGGTTGAAACTACGAGAACTACCACAACCATCATCAAAAAGGCACAAGTATTTACAAGTAATTGTTTACGCAAGATACTCAATATCCGTTGATCGGATACCATCAGTAACAGCCTACTGTGGAAAAAAACAAACCATTTTCTATTTGAGGGGGAAATTAGGAAAATATGCTGAAAGTGTGTAGGACATACGTTACGAAAATCACCAAACGGCATCACGAGGGAAGCCCTAACTTGACACTCCAAAGGGAAGCGGGAAAGACGAGGATCGAAGAACACACTGCGCCGAGGGTCGAAAGCAGACATAAAAAGAATGATTAGCAACTGGAAAGAATTGCCCAGGACAGGGTTGAATGGAGAGTGCTAGTGGGCATCATATGCTTCTTCTCGAGAAGTAACATATGTAGGTAAATAAGTAAGGTTAAATGAATCACAAATGAGGTAAGGAGGTGACAAAGACTATAATAAAGTTTTGCACGTTGGTGGTTTTTGCTTTATTTTGTATAAGCAAAAAAGAAAATGGTTGTTTTTCTGACTCACCATGAAGTGTAAGTGAACGTTGTGTGTGATCTTAGTGTTAATATTATCTTTATTTTAATTAATAAGCGAAGTCCCGTAAACTTTGATAGCTTCCTTGATTTTTTTCAAATGACGCTGAATAATGTGTTTTTTATATAATAGTTTGAATTCATTAAATTGGACAACGGAATCTCCCAACACACTTAGTCATTGCCTCATTTAGCTGCTTTGAACGTTTGAAAAAAACTGGTCTTTCTATGTTATTCCACAATGTAAAGTTCATTAATGACCTATACTGAGCTGAAATTCAAGTACAGCGAACCAGTAAAAACTGGGAAAGTCTTAGATTGAACTTGGAATGTATAGGCTGAATAGTACCCTTGAAACAAGCTCGTCGTTAAGTGACTGCAGCTTTATGTTTTGGGCTTAACATAACACTTGACTTCGTTTAAACGTGGCCTTAAAAGTTTTTATTCATTTTTTAGATCTTTTACAGATTGCTTTACTTCTTGAGTACTCGTTAATCAACTTGAATTAGTTACTTGATATGACATTGTTTGAAAATGTGAAAAGAATAGGACTCAGCGTATAGTTCAAATAACAATGTGGGGATATTTTAAGTACTATTTTTAGCTGTTGCATTTGTTGCCTGTACTGGTAATAGCTAATCAACTAACTCATCTATCTTTTAAGGCACCGTTGATAGCCTTATATGTACCTTGCATAATCTCAACTCGTCAATCAGAACACCATAAGATCAAAATAGTAGCCATAATTTTCTGGGCATATGGCTATCATGTTTATATATTTGAAAAATTGAACCATAATACATGACAAATAAACTACGAAACGTACACTTCTTTGGCTTTTGTTAAAACACAACTTATTAACGCATAGCTAACTGTAATTTTTTAATAATAAGCGATAAAGCGATAGATAATTGATTAAATGATAGTTTATTATCACAGTTTTTAAAAAAATACATTAAATTAATTATTTAACAAAATTACATCCTAACTGAACCAAGAAATGACCTTTTGTGTTTCATATTTTAATTTCCTCACCATTCACTAATGACTTTTTCGTCGATAATGCTCCTTGGGAATTAGACCATATTAAAGTATATTATTTAGCATACTGATTACTTTTTTAGTCTCACTAACCCTGATTAAACGTATGCTCGATGACATTTCGGTTCACAGACAAGAGATTCACATAAACTGTTAACTTTCCTTTCCTAGAGGTACGTCCACAAGCTTGTTAGAAATTAATGTTGGTATTTAACAGTCAGTTCTGTTCACCGTGAGATTCACCGAAAATAAAAGTGATAGAATAAATATTTGACAAACATTGCTTTAATATATAAGAATCACAAAGATATGTTTTAGTACTTAGTATAAAGTAACGGGTTACGGGATAAATCCATTAGAAAGACTGCGTATTTTTGTCTATTAAAATGTCTGTGATTCAGGCTTTATCCGTCTTGTAAAATGTATTCAGTTGCTGTGACTAAAATATGGCTCTTGGTCACGAAGCTCCTAACTAAAAGAGGAGTCAGTGATTCCTTGGAAGATTTCACGGTACATAGAGGAAAGTAGTAAGAGGCTCACACTTCTATGATTAGTTTCCCATCTTAATGACTCAGTCGAATATTCTTGGAGTTTTTTTAAATTTTATAACCTTGATTGCTATCATTTGTATTTTCATTGTAGTTCCTTGTTAACTCTGGTGCTACAATGGTAACTTCATCGAGTTTCCTCCAGTCATTCTCCCTTGTTTGTGTTGAAGTAATGTGTAGCTACTAAAAGCAAAACATATTTTTTCTAGGTTTTGTGTTATTACTATGTTTTTGTCTATTTGTTCTAGAAATAGCGAACGAAATGTCTGTTAATAGAACTCCACTTTTACTTGCTATATACCAGCTATTCTTATCCTATCTAGAATATTTCTGCGATGTCTAGTTTCGCATGTTATCTATTTTTCTTGTCATTAGATGATTAGGGCGTAAATTTTCAACGTTTAGATGTTCGATTCACTATGCATCAATTGTTAGATTCCCTTAAAAGTGCGTAATATAAATTTTTTTTGGAAAAACAACCCTCGAAACCATTAAAAATACACTGGTAATATTTTGTCGATATTTCATGTGGTATTCCATTTTCTTTTTGAACTGGAAACCAACATATTTAAAACGTAGACGCTTAACGAACAACAAATGAAAGGTTACGTATGTGTCTGATCTTGAGAAGTGAAGCTTCACAAACTAGTAAAGTTAACTATTTTGTTTTAATGCATAATATGTTATACATATATTATGATAGATAAATTACAGACCACAAATATCATTCACCTGAGACCGCTGTATATCCGTCGAATATTTTAGAAAGTAACAAACATAGTCGCTTGATTACCTGTCATCTAAGGAATCTTTGACTACGAACTTAACAATGTTTATTGATAGTGGCGAATTAGGAATTAATATTTTGGTCTTTATGCAAAAACGTTTTTCCTTACACCTACTGCAAATTCTCCAAATAAAACTTCCCAATATTCAGGTTATACAACCTCATCACAATCTTCGGAGACAGAAGAAACAGAAGCGACTGATTATTTTGATGACATAATTTTTCCAGTCATAAATGTATCTTATTATGATATGACGGCCAATGGTACTACTTTACCATATTTACCTACAACAACAACAGCTAATGAACCTAACTCGACAACATGTGAACCAGCCACTATATCACTTCAAAACGCAACAGATCATTCACATGATTCGACTATAGCGATAGAAACAACGGCAACAACGGAAACAGCTACAACAATGGGCGTGACAACAAGAGAAATGGAGACGACAACAGTAATGATGACAACAGATATGATCACAACAGTTGTACCTATTCCGAATATACACAAATTTTCGCTGAAAAATGGGAGCTCTTACTGCTTTCTGTTTCAAAGCGATATAATATTTCAAATTTTCTATCACAGTGAGGTAAGAATATGCATTGTTTGAGAGGGTTACTGTCAAAATTCTCCCTAGAAATCAGAACAAGCTTTTTATGTGAAATTACATTTCCTTATACAAGTAGACTAAATGATTTGTCAAAAAATATACTTAGCCTACAATACCCTTATGATTTATTCTGAATTAGTTGGAACAATTTCTGTGAGTAACGTTTTTTCCACTGTTTTAAGTATCGTCTATAGTGGAATGCATAAGCTCATATAATCGTGAATGATTTTATTTATTGTTATCAAATCATTATTACTTCCATTTGTTAATGGCTTTTTGCAACTAACACCAAATTTTCTTTGAATAAATCTATAGATTTGCATGAAGTTGATGTTTAGTGTTATGTGTATAAATATCATCAACACTGAATTGATATACAAAGAAGTATTCAAAAAGGGTATAACGAATATGTATTATACTGTGAGTGCATAACTGATACATGAAGATGAACTACTTTTATTGTTTAGGAATAATTTCGAAACTTCCACAGCCAAGCATCGAATTTTAGAAAACGTTAATTTGTTATCACGCTAACTTATTGTCAATTGTATGCCACTGCTATACATAAACAAAACAAGGAATTTGACTGGCTGGCAACCAGTTGTTAGCTATGGAAATAATTTTCTCTTGACTTCTCATTATAAAGACTATAAAAGAATCATTACTTGAATATTTTTTGAGTGATTTAACACAAAATCTAAAATTATTTCTCGATGGAAAATGAAAAAAAACCCACAGAAATTCAGATGAATATGGCTTTTGTGAATGTATCTAAAGTCTTAATTAGATGGTATTGACTATATTCTCCGAGCCATGATCTTTGTTCGTCATTCAGTCAATGAAGCAGATTATTCAGATTTTGAGCTGGAACATCCAGATGGTGTTTTTAAATCTGATAATTAGATTTATGGTGCAACACTTGTAATTGCATATGGCTTACATCATTTTAACTCACACGCAGAAAAAGTCAAGGCATATTAAATACGAAGAACTAACCGTCAATAGATAGTAACGTAGTTTCTAAGGGTGTACTAAATATCGGATGAAAATCTCATTTGTAGTTTGAGGATCATGAAATATGATATTATTTATAACATCTTAAAAAGTTTTCTACTGGTCTGTAACTCGAGGTTTTTTATCCAGAATATAGTAAATCAATGTCAGACGTTGTCCAGTAACAAAAGCAAATTGAAATATCACCTGCAGCCGGAGCACACTAGCTATGCCACCAGAGATTTTCAACTACTCTAAATAGATCCATGGATTGGTTACCACAGAGATATGCATTTTCGCATTTCATTTATTATTATTATGCCTGTATTCAGCTTTATAAATTCCATACCAAACTACAATTCACAGCTGCGTTGAGGATATTTTAAGAGGAAGAATGGATTAGAAGACCATACAACTCTTAAGAGATTTTAGTCAGTCACATTAAGTGACTCTAGTACTTATCTCTAACCACTAAGTGTGTGTTCAAAACAGTAGGATTCGATGATATATTTGAACCCAATTATTAGAGTTTATCTACTGTTGTTAACTTTTTATGTACCAGTTACTTTTAAAATTGATTATCATTCCTCTTATAAATTATTTCCCATTTGAAAAATAGAATAAACTGGTAAAATCTTACAAATTTACTGTATCCAATGCTACTATTAACGATAATGAAAGTGTATGTAGTGAACATTATACGAAATTATCACTCACGTTCATACCATATGGACAAAACGAAGAGCATAAGTGGACATTAGTTCTTTTGTTTAATCGTATGGAACCAAACAAAACTTCAAATGATTCGAATACTGTGAGATCTATCTATACTTTGAACAGTTTGATATTAACTTATTATATGGATAAGAATTTATTTCCGGATTCATTGACACCAGGCAAGTTATGTCTCTTAGTACCTATTCTTATTTTATAATGAATGACATTATCACTTAGATAGGTTTGAGCTTCTGTTTTGACATTCCTAAGGCTCTAAGTTACAAAATTACTTAATTCTCATTCAATAAAACAAATGTATGACTGTAAAACTGAAGAATTCCGTTATACTTGTGAGGAGTTATGGTAAAGTGTAGTAGAACTTGTAGTCGTCATATCCTGATTACTATCAACCAGTAATAAGTTTCATATTTTTAAATAAAGCCAGAACGAACATGGATTCAGAATAATATGAATTCATTATATTTTGTAGTTTCTCATCAGCTGCGCACAACCAAATATGTATTAAAACTTTACACTGAGATAAGATATAGCGTGAAACAATCGACATAAGCGAATATAAAAAATTAGAATAACAAAGGTTATCAATAATAACTATATATATATATATATATATATATATATATATATATATATATATATATATATATATATATATATATATGCAAGTACAGGTCGAAAGTCATTTAGTGTTAGAACCAAATAACATGAGCGATGGATGATTTAATAATTGAGTGAAATTCAAAGACAGATAAAATAGTGTGATAATTTTAGAGGTAATGAAGGGTTTGCACAAGATCCCTGGGATTAAAAATACTGGTAAGATGGGTTGTGCAATAATTAAACAAGATTCGATGATTAAAAATTAAAAACACGAAGTTCAGTGAAGGTATCTCTTCAACGAGTTTATTAACAAGCTGTACAATCGTATATATATATATATATATATATATATATATATATATATGAATTTTTTTGTTAAAGTACTAATTTCGTGAGGAAATGTGAAGACGAATAGCATAGATGACGTAATATAAAGATTATAGTACTTCCAGAGCTTCTCCATCAAGTGTGATTGAGATAGTGTTCTCTGTGGTGTATTTCAGGATTTCATTTTTATCTGTGTACGTTGGGAACTACTACTGCAGAGACTGCTTCTACACTGGCTGCCTTTACCTGTATGGGATGGAAGGGCCAGGGCATCTGCAAAGTCCAAATCGCCTGGTTGCATGCAAGCTGTTCACTGTATTTCGTGCTTCCCGTCAGTTGTGGAGATCAACCACCAGAAAAAAAGAAATAGGTGAGAGTAAGTAGCCCTATCTGACTCCGGTCCTCACTTGGAATGCGTCTGTCAGCTGTCCTCCATGTACTGCTTTGCACTGTAGCCCGTCGCATAAGTTTCGGATGATGTTGACGATCTTCTCAGGCACTCTATAGTGTCTAAGAAAGTTCCACAAAGTCCTATCCACACTATCAAGCGTATTCTCATTGTCAAGTCTGTTGTTGTATAGTGATGAGTTCCACTCAACTAACTTTTCAATGATGCTCTGTAGTGTGACGTTCTGGTTTGTGCACGACCGATCCTTACGGAATCGGGTTTGTTGATCTCGAAGCTGGAAATGCATGAAATAGCCGCAACCAATCTTTTTATGTGCCAATTCATTTCGGTATTTTCGGAAATTCATCCCCAAATAAAATCTAGTTACATGTATATTTACGTCTTGTAGTATTTTTCGGAAATAAATTTATTGATATAAACAAAATTATTCCTCATCTGATGATTAGCAGTGTTGTGTTTGATATGTTAACTACTAGGACCACTAACTCAGTAATGCATCGTTTTCACTTCATTCAAAAGTAAACCTGGACAAGTAATGTCACATATTATCTTCAATATCGTAAGCTAATGTTATTTCAGTTTTTTTAGTAAAAAGTCTATCTAGTATAACCCAAGAAGGTCGTTTTAGAAATACATTATAATGATCAGTACTTAGATGATATTGTCTTTCATAACTAAATTGATGTCGTCAAAGCTAATCAGTTATGTCAATGGAGTCAGATGAATCTATATAGAGACATAATAACAAATATGATGTCAATTAAAAAGTATGATTCTAGCAACTTGTTGCTTACTAAATAGTGATATGATTTAAATCAAAGTATCGGATTTTTGATTATAATAAGGACACTGGTGAAAACCGCAATATTTCCCGTGCATCTTATTGATGGTAGATTTTTTCATTTCTTATTACACCTACTCATTTCAGTATCCTTACATCATTAAACAGTCCATTATATAAATCTAGAATATTGTCTGGCTCCAATAAGAACAAGTCATTTTCATGTGACTCATACGAAATTTATTCTTTCAATTATTGCTGTTTCTCCATTTTAAAGATCTCTTTTGAACTTACAATAAAATTCAAATGAGTCTCTTACTAAAGATCTGGTAATTTTTTAGTAAAACATTTGAATATAAACCTCTACAGAGCTGCTGAACTTTTTTGAAGTTATATGCTCACAACTGAAAAAAAACTACTTAGGTCGTTAAATAAACTCTGAAAATATACTGGTCTTACTTAAAAATAACTAATCTTTATTTTTCCTATTTCTATAGTATTCAAGCATCTAAGTTAATCATTTCCAACAGTTCTAAAGAATGAAAACACAGACGGCTGAGAAGAAACGTTTAAACATTTCTCATAATTTTATTTAGATTTATTCATTCTTTTTTATTATCTTGAAAGAAATGTGTCCTCAATATTATGTACTCGTAATTGTTAACTGGTTGTGGGGAGTTAGCAAAAAATTCTGGATCTCAATTTTGTATATATTAGTTTCCATAATGTGTCATTTTGGAAAAACAAAACAGTTAGTGTAAAATTAGTAATAAGGTCATGGTTTCATATAGGCTTGTAATTTGTTGTTTCTAATCCCATCATTAGGTCAATATGTTAATGTATCCAGTAATAATATAGTATTTAGAATACCTGTTGGATCATATTATTCATGTTTGACTGTACCGGAAATCGCCCTAACTGGAAATGAAAAATTCTTTGGTAGTTGCAAGTTATTTATGAGAAATTTGAAAGTAGAAGCATTCATGAACAATTCTGTGGAAGCATTTATTGGAAACGGTAAGTTGTATTTACCTAATCTGGTTTGTTGTTAATATCGTTCCTTTTGCATTGTTAATCCCTAACTCTTACTCATAATTATGTGCTGATGTTAGAAGCTCATTGAATTATAGTGAACAAAAAATAGGGTTTATGAAAACCAATAATTATATATATATATATATATATATATATATATATATATATATATATATATATATATATATATATATATATACCTGATCTATGAGGTTTCCGTTACATATAATAGTGCGAACATAAAGAATATAACATTAGAAATTCACAAATCGGTATTATGAAACTTGTTATTTCGTATCTGATTTCGTTATTATAAATAATAAATGCCAATCCTGTTCACATCATCTTGTCAGTTGGTGAGGTTTGTTACTTTCTGTTTGATAGTAGTAACATCAAAATTCCCTCGTTTGGAGTAAGATAAGTTTATAAAAATCTTATTAACCTTAAAGCAGTTTTAATAGCATTGGTTATTACTATGATATTAACGATGTTTGAGCTAGCAAATCCAGTTCTACCATTTTGACTAAAGTAAACTGACTAGAAATTGATCTGAAATATTGTGTAATTTTATCGATCAATGGTAACTCACCGTTTTTGAATTAAAACTTAATAGAAATTTAAATTTGTCACCATAATTTTAGGTTCTTGGCGGTTCATCCCAGAAGCTAGAATTTTCACCGTAGTCAATAATACTAGGAGGAATTAACAAATTTACTGTGGCTGTTCATTTTAACTTCCAAATTTATTTTCTTTTGAAATAATAGCTGATTCAAGTCAAAGAAAATTCTGCTTTCTGAATTTTGTGTTTGATAAATAGTTCAGCTAGTGTGTACTACAGTTTTCTTGTTTTACTAGGAACATAAATGTTTAATTTGTTGCTAACCGATTAAATTACTATGACATATCCGTAAAGTAATCAATTCTAAAAAATATGTGAGTAGTATCAATACTACTTAAAAATCAGGTTGTCAGAAAAACCTGAGATTTAATCATTTTTCACTTAAATATACTTTATTTAATCAGCTTTATAGAAAGAAATATAAAAAAATAGTAGAACTAATTCTCTGCTTGGATATGTTTCTTTCGTTAATAGATATAGTAATCTTTTTGTCAAGATTGCTGTTATCTACTTATCAAGGAATTTGTCACCATAGTTATGAAATATTATCACGAGCTAATAAGATTGTTCCATAAACCAATGTTCTTCCGTTTTTTTTTATAAAACATTTAACTTGTATCAAAGATTTAAGCTTATAAGCATTAAATTTTAATCTTTCGCTGAAGATTACTTCCAAAATAACTTGTTTGTTTTCAATACTTAACCATTCCCTTTTAATTTTCTTTTTAACAGAAACGTTATGTGATTCAGATGTTAATGTTAATAATATGGTACCTATTGGTGTTGGTATTGCACTAATTGTCTGTATTGTGGTTGCCATAACTGTATTTATTGTTTTCAGCAAACGCAATCGTCGTAGTTACACTTCACTTTAACTAAATGTGTTCCCTTCATGTACGAATTTATTTTATATAATGTATCGCATTCTTATGTGTTTTTAGGTATTTGGATGTTTGTATGTATGTATGATTAAGTATGCGTTTTCCAGCATGGGGATTAGTAAGTGAACTGACTATCATTTGAAATATTCAGGTATTTCATCTAACCTGTTGTGTTTTACTGACAACTCAATTTGTGTTTAAATATTTTAACATTTTCAATGTCTTCCATTACTATTACTGAACAATTCAGTCAATTTACGATTACATGATGTGATTTTTATCAGCAATATATATATATATATATATATATATATATATATATATATATATATATAATGTATGACGTTTTTCAAGTGGATTTCATTGAATTTCCTATGTGACATGTCAATCATTACCTCCTTTGCTACCATTTTTTTCTCTTGACACTCATCTATTCACATTTTTTTGTAATGATTTTAACTACCTTAATAAAACACAATACATATTATTTTTAGATAAATGCTTGACTTTTGTTTGTGATCAGTGTATGATTTTTACGAAATTACTAAATCCCGCTTTGATCTTATGTCTTAAGTATCTCTCTGACTAATATTTCTACAGATTTAAGTAGGAAAACATAATTTTCAACTAATCACATATCAGTTATCATAAATTCTTAGAAACGAGCAAGAAAAGTTGGGTGGGTTCGTATTTTCGTTTAAGTAAGGTGTTTACTTTTCGGCCTATTTCGCACAGTTAAAAAAATGAAAACATAGTTACTTTTCATTTTTTAATTCCTAATGGTATAAATAAGTTGATTTGTTCCAAGTTATTGATTTTGTTATGCACTGGGCACTTACCTTTACACCCTCGTCTTTTAATAGCATTAGTCTGACATACTACATAATTTTAAAAACGTTAGTCCAAGTTCACACCACAAAAATCTATGTTCGATGTAAAGATATTGAAATCATAAAGCACATTAGTCGTGAGCAGAAAACAATTAAAGAAGCTTAAACTTTCAAGATTTGGAATTGGATATGCCATGAACACTTAGCTACAATTATGGTCGACTTTAAACCTTATATTATCATAGTAGTAAAATAATAATGTGTGAATTTCCACATACTATACTCGCTTATCCATGGACAAATGAATATATTGTTGGCTGCGTAAGTTAATAAACTTAAAATGAAAATTCTTTATTCACTAACAGGGTTTTGTAATTAACCACTAATTGTGGCTGATGCAACCCCCAAAGCGAACAAATTTATCTGGATTTTTCTATCTCTTCTAAAAACGGGTATTAACCGAGTAGAGTTCTGGATCATCGTTTGTATTGTGGGTGTAAGCTTCGTAGCAGAATTTATCTGATTTTCTTAAAAGACGCTCCAATTGCCAGGATTATTCAAAATAATTCTAGAAAAGTGTCTGTATAGTCTTCATTCTTTTAATATAGTCAATCAATGATGTACAGGGAGACCAGAAATAGCTGACTTAATGATATAGGTGGAGTTTTGTTCTCTGAGTTTGATGGTTTTATCGGAAACAAAAGTACCAAAATCACTCGCTAAAGCTACAAATCTCCATTTCAAAACCCAAAAATATTCTTCATTAAAACTAAAATTCCACCATAGCTAGTACTTACGTATTCACATTTAATCTATCCATTTCAAAATCTGAGACAAAAGCTCAACGAAGTCAGTTTATCTTTCAACTCATATTTCAAATTATACTTATTACACTATATGTATGCATATAAAAAAGTGAATAGTTTTGTAATGATTTTAGTATTTTAAAATTGATATTTATCATTATGTGATAATCATGAAAATGGAGCTAGAACTAAAGATTATTCAGGTACATTATGTTTCTAACGTTCAAACATATTTAATCTCATGCTTTCTCTGTTGTTGTTACTATAACTGTTTATAATCACAAATTTATGTAGAGGATAAGTTCTGTTCGATAGTAATACTATTTCATCAGTGTAATTCAAATATTCAGAACTAAAAGCTTGTGACTTAAGGCCATATCGAGGTAATCCGCACAGGATGCCCATATGCCAACAAGAGACTGATCGATTGCGGTACTAAATAACAAAAGGGAGATACAAGTAAAACAACACCAAGTGAATCTAAATGATATTATCTTAAAGTTTATTGTTTTCCTTTCTTGTAACCTAAATTACTATAAATCAACATTATTTAAAACATTAGTCCATAGAAAATGTCAACTAACTTATGAAGAGTACTTAAAGATTTTCTTCGCTATCTACTGATGTGTCTTAAGCAGTTGTTATCAAACGTTATGAATAACTAGTTTTTCTTCAATTTCTCTCTTACCGGTATTTTATATAAATTTCCAATGTCAACATAGTCAAATCACAAATAAACCGTAAAAATAATCATTTCATGAAAAAGCTCATAATTCAGTGTACTTGGTGTAGAGGCAACTTCAAAATGATTGAAATAAAGAGATATGATGTGATAGTTTAATGAACAGTAACTACATTTTTTTAATGGTAAATAGATTACTATTACAAACATTTTGTACCTTGTTATCTTTTGTTTACTTAATCTTTGTTACATTTCATAGTTAGTGCCATTATTGGTATGATTGTATCGATTTGTTTTCTCCTGGTTAACTTTTCCTTCACCGAGTAAAGAAAAATTCATATACACTTTGAAATTGGCATGTTTTGCTTTATATTGCTTATATTTGCTTTATTTGCACTGAAATATAAGACTGAAGAAAATCAGTTCAATTTAATGAGATCATAAATCACTTAACATAAAATTTTTTTGATTGGGATCATGAACCGATTGATGTTAGACCACCATTAAAGACCCGGAAGCACTGGATGGCTGATGAGTCTCACAATAGGACGAAACGGCCATCCAGTGATTCCAGGTTTTCAGTGTTGGTCTAACATCAATCGGTTCATGATCTCAATCAAACACTTAATAATCTCCACAACCCCATATTGATAAAAAAAATTATTTTTTCTTAGGTCATTCCCTTTTGCGTACATATATATACCGTGCACAATTAGCAAACTGAATCTCCATTAATGCATAAAAAAATATTTTTATGTCATCAGTTACGAGCAGTCTTACCTAAAATAAACAAATGTAATTGTCTTCTAGTTGCAAAACTATTAGATGGTTGTAGTTTATATGTTAGTTGACTCACTGAATATGATCAAAATAAATTCCTAAGAAAAATATATACTAAAATTTGAATAGTGTAAATTAACAGTAAAATAATTTACAAATTAAAATGGTCTGTAGAAGAAAAGACAACAGAATTCAACTTAAATTATAATGTATAGCATGAAGAATATGAATATTTCGATACATATTATTCGATTGGATGATCTATTACCAGTTTATCCACTGTAAGATATTTCTTAAGTTATGGTGATTTGATGAATTCGAAATAATTTTATCATGAATATACATGATTGATTAATTCATAGAAATACAAGAAACACTATATAGTTGTTTTGGCCTAGTTAGAGAATAATCAGTTTAAAGCATACTTAAATCACTTTTTTTTATTTAACTCAAAGTAAATGATGTGAACGCTTAGTTATGGAATTACAACCTCTTAGTTTCCCGTCATAATATGACTAGTATAGCTCATCACTACTCTCATTTTTCGAAATCACAAGTTCAAATAAATAATTCAAGACTCTTGTTTCAAAGTTATTAACTGATGTGTGTAAGACTGATAGCTCACACGAACAACATTCATAATATTTTCTGTTGAAAATCTACAGTATATTATGTGATTATTATCTACATTTATCGTATGTGGCTACGAATATCAATACGTAAATGACTCAAACTTTATTGACGCACAGACAGACTAGGATAGTCGCTTCATGTTTTTCGTTATTGTGTGTGTCAAGCATCCATAAATCTTCCTGAGGTTATTTAGATAACATTTAGTCGGCGAAATAAGATATTATATTGCTAGCCAATGATGGTCAAGTAAGTCTATAGCCTATAACCTTCCCTGGAAAATTCTTTACAAAAAGTTTGATTCGATAAACATTTACGTGCTCTCAATGACTGCATTCTGATGTTTTCGTAATAAGCGGTTTTCTGTGTTGATGGTGATCATGATAATATTTAGAATTAATTCTAAATTATCTCTTGAAGAAGTACTCTGGAAAAAGCTAACTTGGTTTATTCTTTTTTCCTTGGAAGATAGCTGTTTTGGGCAACTGGTTTTTATTCGATTATCATCTTTTATAATTTGATGCCTACCTGGTATTCGTCCACTTGTTTATCCAGGTGCTAATGAACATTAATAATCTTCATGCACTCTGAACTATTAAAATTGTTTATCGTTGTTTTTCATCAACTTGTGTTTAAAACATACTTAATCAGAAGTTTCTCCAATGGGTTCCGCGAATACTAATTTAAGTGTGATGTATTATCTAAACAATTTAAGTCGGAGGTGACTTTGTAGTATTTCTTGTATAATCCTTTTTGCTCGGATTTTCAAAAGATTATATATTAAGTTCGAATCTGCTTCCGTAATGATATTTAGTAAATACACTATATCAGGACAATCTCACATTAAATTAAAAGCCTACGTATATCGAGAACGATGCATTAGGCGGCCTGCTTGAATAACTAAGCTACCTGTTCCTGCCATCTAGATATTCCAACAAGTTTTCTGTTTCCTTGTTTGTTTTAACGCATCATTATGCCTATTAGTCTCAAAACCTATTCAAGTGCGTTTGTGAAAAATTTACGACATTTCGCTGTACAGATTACAAAAGAGCCCTATCAAATACATCGTTGTTGCTAGCAATATGCATAGAAAAGAATATACATTATTCCTAAGCTGCTAACATCTAACTGGCGACCACTCAATATTTATCGCAAGGATTGACCAAGAAATAAGAAAATAAAACTTTCTGTAATACTTTGTGCTGAGAAGTCTATATTTGTACCAAAAGTATAATATTGAATAAAGTCACTAATAATGATTATTATTGTTAAGTTGGACACAAGTAATTGGAACCTCAGTAACTTCTCAGCGAGTCCAGAATCTTGTGTTTTATATTTTGTATGTTGTGCTATGCAGATTCAGAACAGAACAAATAGCGTGAAGGTACTCAATATTTGTAAGTGTCCATTCAACCACTGATATTTATTTCTCAATTTATATATTGCTTTAATGAATCTATGCGCTGTGTTCACATGTATACTTAGATCGTTCATAGGGTAAACTGGTCTCATATAAGCGATTATTAACTCTGAATTCTCAATTTCGCCAACTATGATCAATCGTTTTTTTTTGATATACTGTGTTTACAATGTGATACTTAGATATTAGAAGAAACTGACAACAAGTGATTTAAATCTAAATGAGATGTAAATAAGAATTAAAGAATTTCACAATTCAAAGACAACAGAACTGTACATAAAATAAATACAACTTCAATAGAAATAAATGGTAATAAACATTCAATCTGTACAATAATTGAATGAAT